GAGTTACTCCTTAAATAGACCTGGTAGTAAAATGTTATCTTTAAACAGGTAGAAAGTTCATCTGAAAGTTTCTGGTTCTGCTTTTTATTACCGCATCATCATCATCATCAACAGCCTTTAATAGTCCACTGCTGGACATAAGCGTCTCCTCAGAAATGAGGTTTTGGCCGACTATACCACGCTGACCAGATGGTCTGGTATAGGGTTTGTGTCAAGTTTTCCTTCTCTTAGCAGTGCTGCGTATAGTTTGCTCCCTTAGTCTGCTTTTACGACACCTACGGGATAATTAGGGGTGGTTGTCACACGGATTTATTTGATATTCATATGCTTCTAAAGATGTATGAACTAGCAACTGACTGCATGATAAAGGTTGTCCAGAACCCGGCTGTCAGTAGTATGTCTTAGTTTGTGTATTATATAATATAACTTCCCAAGAATAAACACTCCTTACCCCTCCAGACACAGTGCCCTGATTTCCCACTACCAAAACAAAAAACTGCGAATTCACACGCAAAACCTTTATAAATATAAATTGCATTTTTTTTCCCTACCAGACCCTCAGGTCACGACCTTAAACGGCGTGTTCTTCCCTTGTACCGTTCGTTTCTTGAATGAATGCATCTATTGTTAATACAGATAATAGCTGTTCAACCGTTGACGAAAGGAACGAGAGTTTGGTCGTGGTGTGGAGTGGTGGCAGTGAGGCTTTATATAGTGTAACTGAAACCCTGGTATATGCATTAAAAAAAAATGGTTGCCTGTAAAGTCGGTATACGGGCGAAAGTTTTACGTGACAACGACTTTGAGTGGTAAAATAATTTTAATGTGAATATTCATTCGTATAGTAGGAAGAAGGATGAAATAATAGTAACAATTTAAAACATTTATTTATACAAAGAATTATATTTAAAACATTAATTTATGTCTGTCTCTCTCGCTCTTAGGCGGGCTAACCATGCCCGAGTGGAAGGGACGCGTGCCTCTCACTCGCTCTCATTGTGAGCGCATAACGTGAGCGGAGCGTAACGCAGTTTCTTGAAGTGTCACCCGGCAAACCAATTTATAAGACGTTGTCACGTCAAAAGCATTAAGTTGCTTCTGGTAGGGAAGGACTAGCTAACAGATGATTGTGACCGACTAATGGACGAGTTGTTCTTCTGCTTCTGACTAGACAACTGGATATACTAAGAGTTATTTAGATGCATTTTTATTTAAAACTAGCGGACCCGCGCAACTTCGTCTGCGTCTCTCAATAGTAATAAATTTTCTCCGTTTTTGAAACATTCTTCATTGGTGCTCCGCTCCTATTGGTCTTAGCGTGATGATATATAGCCTATAGCCTTCCTCGATAAATGGGCTATCTAACACTGAAACAATTTTTCAAATCGGACCAGTAGTTCCTGAGATTAGCGCGTTCAAACAAACAAACAAACTCTTCAGCTTTATAATATTAGTATAGATTAATATAAATGCATTTTACTACATACCTAAAGTTAAATAGTAGGTGTAGTTTATCTATAATACGTATCTACCTATTTAAAAAAATATATAAGTATGTTTATCAGCGGTCTGGTTACCATAGCACAGGTTTTGCCTAGTTTGGGATCAGACGGCCGTGTGTGAGATGTGTATTATTATTATTCTCTTTATTTACTTTATATACATATTATTTACATTTTTAAACATACACTTTATAAAAAAAAAAAAAAAAATAGTAGACCACCGACATTGGGTACAGAGACCAAGACACCGGTGGTTAGGACTCCAAAGATAGGAACCTCCTCACTATACGAGCCGTGTCGAGGAGGATTGCCTTCTGCATCAGACCCTTGATCCAGCCGTCCAACGTGAGGTGTTGGTCGACTGGATCATTATTATTATTTTTATATACTCATATATGTATACACACATTTGTATTTGATCTTCGAGTTCTAAGCCTTCGTGGGTGCCCGTTGTCACTTGGCATCACGTAACAAAGTCTGCTTGTTTGCTCTTTGTATAACATAAATAAATTTTGGTACTTACAATTTTTCGCGAGAATCGAAATTTACCCATATCTTTTTATCGTGTTGACTCAGGACCTTGATTTTTATACACCTAATAGGGACCATAGACCTCAGTATCTGGTATAAATTTCAACTTGCTAGGTCTTTACGTTTATGAGAAAATCGGTGTTGACACGCGGACAAGAAAGTGATCTTATAAGGGTTCCTTTTTTACCTTTTGAGGTACGGAACCCTATAAACGAACTTTACTCCCATATTTATGTAATGGCAACACAAGACCTTATTATTTGAGCACTATACAATATTTGTATCAAACGGAAGTTTCTGATAACGTCGCCGAAATGAACTTCAAAATAATAACTTAGCAGAAATAAGCATTCATTATAAAGCCTAACAACCGCTTGTCATATTTTATTTAGATACTAGCTGAGACCCGCGGTGTTACCCGCATTTGGTGTTATAACCGCGGGCAACGCCGCGGGGCGAAGCTAGTCTAAAAAAAGTAGCCTAAGTTACTCCTTATGTCATCAGCTATCTGCCAGTGAAAGTCCCGTCGAATTCAGTCCAGCCGTTCCAGAGATTACCCGGAACAAACAGACAGACACACAGACAAAAATTGTAAAAAATGTTATTTTGGCATATGTACCGTGTAAACATACATATGCATTTAGTAAAAAGCTGTTATTTTAATATTACAAACAGACACTCCAATATTATTTATTTGTATAGATGGGTGATGTCATTTCTTCTTGCACAGTTTGTCCGTTTGAACTAAGCAATTAGTATGACCCGTGACCCTTTCCTTGATTAGCAAAGGGAGAGAGCGACAGAAATTCCTTTGCTAACAAAACAAAAGGAAAGCAAAAAATATAATTACATATATGCTTCAATCGTATGATCCAAGGCGTCTACAACATGAAGAAGGGATTTCTTTTCTAGGGTACACCTGGTTCCCGGGCTACTGGTACCCGAGACGGCGTGCGGTTTTTAGTCGTTTCGAGTCCGAGATAGCCACCGGGGGTATCCGAGGGGATTTCCGTACAGAAAAAATTGGGTGGGACTTACTTCTACCCTACAAATAAAAATCTTCAACTTCAAGTTGTAAACTCATAATACTAGCCGCCCTTCCTTCCGCCTATGTCCTTCAAAAATCTAAATCGGTTTTAGCGGTTATTGATCCTCTATACAAACCTCCACCCCCATTTTCACCCCTTTAAAGAACAATTTCTTTGATAAAAACTATCCTATGTCCATTCCCAGGACTCGAACTATCTCTATACCAAATTTCATTTAAATCGATTCAACGGTTTAAGCGTGAAGACAGACACACTTCTACATTGATAATACATATTAGTATGGATTATATTTTATCAAATTTATTCAAAGGTACAGCTGACCGCTAAACATAATCGGTACCAAAGTTTCCTTACCAACAACTATATTTACATATGATAGAAACAAAATTCTATTCTACATCAGTAGCATAATATCGGACCTAAATATTCGCGATGTTTTAATAACAAACCATTGTAATAACAATACAACATAAGTAATTCAATATTTTCCTCATAAACACGGTAATATTGTACACTTTGATAACAATGTTTTATTTTTAAAGCTTGTACCCACTACTGACCGTTATAATTATTATTATTCTTTACAATATATACATGCCTCTATCAGTTATAAACAATGTATGATTTAAAAAAAAAACATTTGTTATCGATGGGAAACCAATCTGCACAAGTTATAATAACAAATGAATCATCACAAGCAATGGTAAGATAATAATCAGATCGCCAAATGTTATTATAACTTTAAAAAAAAAAGAATCATCGAAATCTGTTGGCGTGATATTGAGTTATTCGTCCATTTGTCGCGCACATACCTACTTAATGTAAATTTAAAGCTTATATGGTTTTCTTATGGATGCCATTGTCAGAACTGGACCAAATTGAAATGGGACCACACGGGAAGCATCAGGATTAAAAAAAAGAATCATCAAAAGTCGAAAGTTCTGAGGTAACAAACAAAAAAAAATACAGTCGAATTGAGAACTTCCTCCTTTTTAGAAGTCGGCTAAAAATACACATTTATTTCGAAGTAGCCAGTCTTATACAAATGTACAATGTACACAAAATAAGTACTATAAGATAACAATAATATTATTTTTTATCAAAACCGTTAAAGATCAGAATAATTCATAAGGTTTACAACCCTACTGCATAAATATTGATCGACTAATTTTAAATCGATTACAATATGAATGCGTGTAATATATGTACATCTTAAAGCATCGAATTCTATGATTTTAACCCAACATTATTTATGCTGCAATTTGCATTAAATGTAACTGACAAGTCGAGGAACATTAAAATAAAGAAAAGTTAATATAACATTTTAATTGTTTTAAATATCTACACTTATTTATTTTATTAAAAGTAATGATTAAAGTTAGCTTATTCTAATATCTTAAGAAAGACTATACTTTAAAGTATAACTTAAAAAATATTAAGAATTCTTTTGTTCTAAATTGGCAAAATGACTAATACCACAAGTTAGTAGTAATCTTTGACATTTAAAACCTAACCTCTGTCTGCGCGGGAACCGCCAAAAATGATCATTCAGTAAATTGTTTTAAACTACCTGGAAGTTGCAAATTATAATTAAATGTCTTTTGTTAAACCTATTTAACTATGTACAAGTGTTTTTGAAACCTTTTTACAGAACTTTCACATGAGAATCTTGTGTTTGAACTATTTAAAACAGTGATCAAAAAGTTTTTAGACTTTCGTCGACTCATCTATTGTTGATTTTTTTAAGTTTAAGTTCACAATGAACCCCTTAAGGGACCAAGAAGGGATTGTTGGTACGTAAAACCAGTTACATTGATTTATTTATTACTATAGATAGGTTACAGGAAAAAAACGAAGGGTTCTCGATTCACTATCCTCTTTGTTATTATTTTCGATGTATTTCTGTTGACACGGTTCGATGTCGTGGCTTGAGGGTCGAAAAGAGTTAAGGTTCGCTCTCATGACCTTACATCAGTGTCTAAGGGTCAATATTAGAGAAATATTTAAAACACCTTTCCATGTAATTTTAAAATATCTGGTTTATTGGTGGGAATTTGTAGTGTAACTATATATTTTGTCATTTCTATGTAACCTTTTTAATAAATTTGATAAATAGACAATACTAATTTATAATACAGTTTATATGTACGCCATGTAACTTTATAAGTTCTTAACCAAATTATGTCTTTCTCAAAGATAATTTGTACAACATCTATTAAATAAACAAGCTATGATGTTGTTACAACCGGATGCCTTACACATGGTTGTCTGATTTTAGGGTACTATTAACTTGGTTTCTTTAATGTTTCAAGGCTTTGATTGAAGTGTCCATCTTTATGATTAAAATGGAGAATAAAGACACTCTGGCTCTACTGTCTGGATTGAAACTCAAACTTCTGTTCAGTGATACTATGAGATAACTAACGTTTTGTTGTTTTTCTCCACAGATTAATAACGGACAGCTTCAGAATCAACTCGGGTAACAATGCAACGAAACGGAAACAAGAAGACTCCCGCACAAACAACTACAAATTAAAAATGAATCCACACACAATTGACTTCTCAAAATCTCCCATATCACCGAAAAAATATACAGCGGCCAAAAGAAAAATTCTAGGAGAAATTCAATTACCAAATTCCCCACTGGAACGGTTAAAATCATCACCTCTTACCATCTCACCGAGGTCAAACTCACCATTAATAAATCACAACATTCAAAATATCAACTCACCGTTATTAAATACTAACAGTCCAGCACTGATAAAAAAGCATTCTCCGTCACTAAACAAAGAAAGTCCTCTGAGTTCAAGAAGTAAACGGTCAAGGATTTCAAAGGTTATGGAGGAGAGATCAAAGTTCAGGAGTTCTAACAAAGAGAATGATCCGCCATTGATGAGTGAGACCTTTGTCAAGTTGGATGATGATGAAGAGGCTAGGGATTTCTTGTTTGCTAAAAAATTTGAAGCCGTAAGGGAAAATGTTACGAATTGGTCTACTACCAAGGTTAGTTTTAAATTTTTTGTCTTTTTACTTGATTGTCAAGAAAGGGTTATATCTTTGCTCATATCTTGTATGTTTGTTTGTAAATTTCTTTATTACCACATATCTTCCAAATTGCTAGATGGATTTTGAGAGTTAAGGCATTGTTTTGTTCTTCTCAAAAATTCAAGTGTCCTTAGATTAGATTCTTTGAAAGAACTACTAACAAAATGGCGGATTTTTGGCGTAAAACAGTGATAGTTTAGTAAAAAAAAAAAAAAATCTATAGAGTAAGGTATCAAAATCAAGAAAGTAAAAGGAGATTACAAAAATATACCTAAGTTATTTTCTTTTTTTTTAATGGGGAGTAAATTAATTGGATTTATAAAGTTTTTGATAGCGTAAAAATGGGTAATCTTTGTGATTGGCTTTTTAGGGCATTACTTTTTAATGGTCTTTTTGCAGTCGGGTTTTTGTTTTTTTTTTTTAAATCATTACTTGTTAACGAATACCATGGGAAAGTCATGCTTCAGCTCAAATAAGCAACTGGTGTAAAGTTAGTTTTTTTTTAAAGTCAACTCCGGCACTGTAACCCGGCAATCTCGTGCGCGACCGTCCCGCGGGGTGACAGACAGTGGCGGGGGCGAGGTAGCGCGTCATTCTAGCACACGGCTACACGGGTTTCCCTTCCCCGCTACACCACCCGCTACCCGCTGACATCTTGAGTACCTCGTCCCCGCCACCGTCTGTCACCCCGCAGGACGGTCGCGCACGACGTTGATGGACTATAGCAATATATCCTGTCGCGGAGGACTTAACAACCACACATTAAACGGACACAAAGAACACCCAGACTCAGAACAATAATTTGTGAATCACATAAAGTGTTGTCCAATGAGGGGATCGGACCCCCAACACTACGCGCAGTAGGAAGCGGCAAGGTGACCGCTTAAACCACTACGCCATCCGTGTAGTAAGTGAGGGTACTAAAGGATCAATACCTCCTTCACTAACTCTGGAGGGGGGGTGACATTCAAACTGCGATCAGGCACTTGTCTTGAGTTGTAGATGCCCATAGGCTACGGTAGTCACGTCTGTCATGCCTGTGCCTTAAAAATTCCTCCGTCAGACTTTCTAATCTATGTTTCTTCTATGACTGTGGACAGAAGTAATTAATAAAAACAATATCTATTTTTCCAGTTGGACTTCAGTGATACTCTCCCACCGCCAGAAGACGAAAAGGATGATGTCTATGTCCCAGAAAAAGAAGAAACAGAAGACGTCTACCTCCCAGAAAAAGAAGATACAGAAGATGTTTATGTTCCAGAAAAAGAGATCACCCAAGATGAAGATGACGATTGCGAGACTCTTCACGACTTGGAAGAAGAATTCGATGCCAACTTCGATGAGTGTACAAAATACGAGATCATATCCACCGACAGCCCTAACATTATCTCGAGGGGGCGCACGGCCACGACTCGGAAGGTGACCGCCAGGAACTTCGACTTCGGAGCTCCGCTGGCCGAGAACGAGCCTTCAACAAGCTTTAACAGACCAAATATTACTGTCACGAGAATGCTGACCTTCGAAGAAGAAGATTTCGAATTCACATCGCCAGCTGTTAAAAAGGCTGCTGCAAAGAAATCTCTGAAGTTCTCTGAGTCACCTACAAAGCTAAAACATGAGAAGTCTGATTCCAGCATCGGTTCAATGAACTCCTCAAGCCAAGCTTCACCAAAATCTGGTTTATACACTTCTGAGTCCACCACATCCATGGAAAGTGGTTTCATATCAGAAATGGAAGAACCGTTCCTCGAAATTGAAGAGTCAAACTCACCGAAGGTAGAAAACTTTAATGAATTACTCTCCGGATTGATAAAAACCAATGTTGTCACCGATAAGAGTTTCCTACGGAGACCGTTGAACAGAAGTTTGAGTTTCAATCCGGACAGTAGAGCCAGAGTGTCTTTATTCTCCATTTTAGAGAACCCAGAGAAGAGGAATTGTAAGAGAGTTGAGCGAACGGAGACAACGGTTGCAAACAAGAGAAGAAAGTCAAGTTATCTGAGTCCTAGTGACAAAAGAGCTGTGAAACCAGAGAGGCCTGTTCTGCTAAGGGCTCAGTCAGAGAATAATGCTATGATAATGCAAGCTATGGATAGATGTAAGTATTATATTAAATATATATTAGTATTATCTTAAACATGTGGTTGTCACCCCTATTCATCCCGTGGGAGTGGTAAGTAAACTGAGGGAGCAAACTACGCAGGACAACAGCACTGCAAAAAGAAAGAAAACTTGAAAAAAAAACCCTATACCAACCCGTCTGGCCAGCGTGGTATAGTAGGCCAATACCTCCTTTCTAAGGAGACTCCTTAGTCCAGCTGTGGACTGTTAGAGGCTGTTGATGATGACATAACCAAATAAATTAGTAACTAACCAAGTCAGTACTAGTTTCCATAGTTTTCTTTATAATAATAATAACTTCACACACCACACACATGACCGTCTGATTCCAAACTAGGCAGAGCCTGCACTTTGGTAACCAAACTGCTGTTAAACATACTTACATATTTTTAAATACATACATATTATAGATAAATTACACATAGACACAGAACAGATCATCGTGCACATCACACAATTACTTGTCCTGGGTGGGAATCGAACTCACAACCTCTATCTTAGCAGTCAGGGTCACTAACCACTAGACCAAGAGGCTGTGATAAAGTTAGCTTGAGTCAGTGGTTTCGCCCGCGTTATTGTCGACTATTTCTTGTTCATAACATCATCCTATAATCTCTATTTATATCCTGACCCTGTGTAAGATCAGTAGACCCACCATTATCAGTAGACCCACCATGATCAGTAGACTAATTCAGTCATAAAATATTATAAACTCATAATTGCAAGTGTTACAATGGCATCCGTTGTTTGTTCTAGCTCAAACGATCCCAGATCTCATAGGAGACTTCTCAGTTCCGTTCGCGCTGCCGCTGACCGACGGAGACCACTGCGACCTCAAGAGCATATCCTGTGAAACCCTGGCGAAACTCTTAAAGGGGGAATTTACAGATACCATTGGCAGTTTTCAGGTAAATATTGATAAAGTTCATTACCAAGCGGTAAAATAAGCACCTATCTCTATACTTAAGTTCCATTTCATTTTTATTTCCATTTTTGGTTCGATTCCCACCCAGGACAAATATTGTGTGATGAGCACGGTCATTTGTTCTGTGTCTGGGTGTAATTTATCTATAATATGTATGTATTTATAAATATATAAGTATGTTTATCAGCAGTCTGGTTACCATAGTACAGGCTCTGCCTAGTTTGGGATCAGACAGCCGTGTGTGAGTGTGTGGGATATATTATTATTATTATTATTTATTTATTGAAAAACAACAGCCATACAATTATTTTATCACTCAATAACATACACAGATAGTTTGGCTAAAAACAGCTTTTCCAGGTTAACTAAAAAACTATATATCCAGCATGCGAACGAAAACATGAAAAGTTGACATAGCATAATATTCAATAAGTACATAAGTCTAAAATGTGATACCACATAAAATTATTGTACATTATTTACACTGTCCACTCAAAACAACTCCTTGAAAAAATTATTAAAAGTACGCGAAATACTCGTAAATACACTGTTTCTATGTGTAGTGACGGATTGAGAATACGGAATGTCACTACCCCAATTCATCCCGTGGGTGTCGTAAGAGTCGACTAAGGGCACAAAACAACGCAGGACACCAGCACTGCAAAAAGAAGGAAAACTTGTCACAAACCCTATACCAACCCGTCTGGCCAGCGTGGTATAGTAGGCCAAAACCTCCTTTCTAAGGAGAGGCCTATGTCCAGCAGTGGACTATTACAGGCTGATGATGTGATGATGTGATGACACTGTTTCTTGCATAATTAGTTGTGTGTCGGGGTGCATGAAGCATGAGTGTATGTCGGGAGCGACGTAACGTAGTGTTAAATACTATTTTCGAAACCAATTCGACACTATCAATATGGCCATTTATAGTACCATATAACAAACACATGTCCAGGACCATACTTCTGTCCTCAAGAGTCAACAAGCAACATTTAATTAACTTTATTTCCTCCTTCAGGTGATAGACTGCCGCTACCCCTACGAGTATGAGGGCGGTCATGTCATCAACGCGTTGAATTACTACACGCAGGAGCAGATGCAGAAACTTCTCGAAGAGCCCGTCTCCACTAACACTGAGGATAATAAACGCAGGATACTTGTGTTCCACTGCGAGTTCTCCATCGAAAGGGGGCCTAAGTTGTAAGTATTTGTTCTTTAGTGATCCTCGAATTTGTAGTCTGAAGGGTTTTACTTACAGACCAGATTGGGGATGATTAGGTTTCTGTGGGTTGTGTAAATGACTTGTATTTATACTATTCCTATTTATTGGGTGTCGTTAGAGTCGACTAAGGGAGCAAATCACACAAAATAACAGCACAGCAAAGAGAAGGAAAAACTTGTAAAAAACCTTATATCAACCCATCTAGCCAGTGTGGTATAGTAGGCCAAAATCTCCTTTCTAAGAAGAGGTTATGTCCAGCAGTAGACCGTTAAAAGCTGATATAGAATGATTTTACATTTTAATAAAGTTTAGGAAGGATTCCGTGTTCTCATAATTAAGGTTTTATAATTGATTCAAGTCAGTTTAGGTAGATTTGTTTGTGCAAAGGTAGTTCTGCATAACGGGGCTGTATAAACTCTGTAGTAGAGACTATAACTATGTAAGAGAGATATAACTCACGACCGCTCTCCCCCCAGGTCCCGGTTCCTGCGCTCCTCGGACCGCGCCTCGAACACGGCGCGCTACCCCCGGCTGCAGTACCCCGAGATGTACCTGCTGCACGCCGGCTACCGCGCCTTCTACCGCCAGTTCCCCGAGCTGTGCCGCCCGCGCGGCTACACCGCCATGCTCGACCCGCGCCACCGCCGCAGCCTGCGCCTGCACCGCGACATGCACTAGCCGCCCGACAAGTATCTTGGAAATAACTTCCGAATGCCATAGTGTCCCACCTGTCTGTACTTTGTACGCTTTAGTTTTAACATGCAATATATTATCTTGGACGAGAGTTCGCTTTTGAACTGTTACGTGTGTGTCGACCTGGCTTCGGCTGGTGTGGCTCTAGTCTACTCTACGCCGATCTCGGTACTCGGTCAATATCTGTTGATCCGTGTTGCTCGGGAATAGTTCCATCTGCAGTCCGGACGAATCCATCATAAATACAAATCACTTTTAACCGAGTGAGTGAGGTTCGTGGTCACAGACCCTAATATATGGACACTGCCCTTATGACTCTATACATGACTGCTGAGGTCTCGGGTTCGATCCCCTGGTAGAACCAAATATTTGAATGAGCTGCAAATATTTGTTTCAGAGTTTGAGTGTGTTCTGTTATTCTATCAGCCAGTCTAACTCATAGAAGAAGCTCTGCTTAGTTGGAAACTAGGTAGCGTTGTGTGTCAGATGTCAAAATAAATTAAAAACAAGTCCGGTGTTAGGTCACTGACCATCAGGTGTCCCGTCTGTCTGTTTGCCCCGCTATACAACATTCTGTCCGTCTGTCTGTGGATTGAATCACTCCTGCACAACACGCTCTATGTATACCAGTCGGGCAGGTTTATATATATATATATATTTATATACAGGGTGTAAGGGGCGGTGTAACAAATTCTGAAATAGTGTTGAATACACTATCACTTTGAATCGATTTGACCAACATTTTAAAATATAAACTGCAATGTAATTAATCAAACACGGCCTCCCCCCGGCCGCCATCTTGTGTTAGTGTTTGCACGGATTGCAATTGTAGTTATTACTTTTGTGTGATACCTACGGGGCATGACCTTAATGCTTAACACCGTTACACCGTCTCTTATATCTTGTATACATGTAATATTTCAAAATGTAGTTTTAGACAAAATTATGAATATATTATCCTTCAAATTATATTAGTTTATAACTCGTGGAGCGGTCTCTATAACGTTATAACGCCTCAATTAAAAATTTATGACTTATATTTTGTTATGAAATCTGTTTTATCATCCCCCAACTGACTCGTGCAGCGCTCCTCGTCGACTGGAAGAGAGCGAGTTCGACTCCCGACAGAGATATATAGTTACGTAAGACAGATTTCCGTACGAAATTTTAATTTTCAACACAGAAATGTTTTAATTTTGTTTGGTACTCGAAGTGGTCGCAATACATCTACGCTTTGATTTTGTTTTACATTAATTATGTTAATTTAATATTGTAATTTAAGTTCTACGAACAGCTGATCGTTGGGTTTGCGCGTGTTCACTAGAACAGTGTTAGCTCACATCCGTGTAGGACGTTCTTACGACGCAAGGTCTTCAACTCGAAACATTACATAGCATATTGAACTCTAGGTGCAACGCAGAGAGCACAAATTCGCGCAAAACACAAACATTGACGGATTGGCCAGCGTGGCCTTTCTAAGGAGCGGCCTAGGTCCAGCAGTGGACTAGTAAAGGCTGTGGGACGATGATGAAATATGTACCATATGGTCTTGCAATAGAGATCAAAATGCTATGCGATGTTTTTGTTGGACGCTACAATTTGTGCAATTTGGTAGGTAAATTAAAGAAATATTGGTGTGAGATAAATTGTTCGTTAACGAAAAGACACTAAATAATATTTTTGTTTAGAGAATGTGTTTAACCCCAACGTTTGGTTTGTGAGGTTTTAGTATTAATGACATATATTAGTATATTGTTTTAGTATTTATAGTGAAAATGTCGAGTTCTATATAACGGTGCAAGTTGCGTACTGATTCACCGTAACATATTCATATGGTACTTACACCTATTAGACATGGAAATTATTGCTACTTTTAAATCATATTCATTTGATGAAATTATTGCTTTTAGTCACAGCGATTTCACATGTGATTGTGATTTCGTCATAGACAAAGATAAATGGTATTAAAATCAATCAAAATTCTTTTTATCAAAGAGTACGACCTTTTTATTTTAGATTTAGTCTTGCGCTAGCGTAATAATAATAATTAAGCCACAGTGGTTTTGTAAATCTGTCACAGGTGTCATGATATGATTTATAAATCATGTGATTGTGATTTTATTCTATTCCTAACACCTATCGTGAGCGCGTTGATTCCCTTAAACATCATTATATAAAAGAGCGTACTCCTTCCTTGAAGGTCGACAATGCGCTTATGACTCCTGAGTTGCAGGCGTTCATGGGCGTTGGTTGTCGCTTTCCATCAGGTGACCCGACTGCCAGTTTGCCTCGTATATCATAAAAACCGACTAATTGTAGGGTTGACTTAAACACAGTACGGTTTTGTGACCTTCCAAATATAAATAATTAGTAAAATAAGTAAAGAATAATAATTAAAATGGTGTCATTAATACTAAATTATAAGAATACGCTTATTAGCTATATTATATAAGTTGTAAATATTAATATTAAGAATGCATTTTGACATAACCTGTTCTGAAGAAGGTGCCGTACATGGTCCTTCGAGCCAGGAGTTTCGGCCATAATTTTTAAAAATTCTAGTTGAAACAAACTAATATATAATGTATAGTTTTGATTTTAAAGCAAATTGTGAATTTTTAGTTATATTTTTTTAATAAATTATGTGAATATATATAAATAATGGTGTTTATATACGATCACACACACCCTAGGAGAGTCATGCTTCGGCACAAATAACTCATGGGGTAAGTTACCATCAGCTGACTAATCTGCTCCTAAACCTATGACGTCCCTCCATCTTCCTCTTCTACCGAGCCTTTTAAGCTTCCTTCTACCTTTGATTGTTTACGTGAAGCGACTGCCATCAGACCCTCACAACCCAAGCACTGGGCGATACCGAAGTTCTGCAGAAGACTTGTCGGACTTTACAGGGCTCCAACTAGCCGCAACGGTTGCCACACATGTTCGTATGGCAACCGGGACCGACGCTTAACGTGCTCCGAGGCACGGAGGGGTCTCAATGTGTCAAGAATGGTCACCCATCCATAGACTGACCTGACTTGTGTTGCTTAACTTTGCAATCTGTTAACCTACTCGGCTCCAACTCAGCCACGAGCCCCATCCTAATAATAAAGCTATGTAATGCAATAACATTGTTTTACTACCGACCGGTTCATCCTTTTGTCATAAGAAAGAAAACTTCAGCATTGTTTTATTAGTGTAGGAATTTTCTAAATAGGTAGCAAATCATTTTGTAAAACGAAATGCACATATCCAGTTTCATTTAATTAACGACACAAAACACATTTAACATTACCATACAATACATAATTATATACTCTGTTACAATCATATTAATGTTTGAGCACACATGGTTTACATAAATGTCTACATTACTTACTAAAATATACCTATTGACGTGTAACACCTTATTTGAAATGGGACGGAACTGCGTAAAAGGAAGTTGGGGAAACGCGCGCTATTTGAATTGACCAATGAGCGCGCGTCGCTAGAATTGTCAGCAGTCAACAGGCCTGTCTGATGATGGAGTCAAGAGGAGGATAGTGGAGGTCATAAACTCGTAAAAGGTTATTATGGATGATGAGAAGACACCACGTTTGGGTGTTAGTATATTAAGTTATGAGACATTGAGTTACAAATAAACAAACAAAATGTGTAAAAGTGATTATAAAGGTGACTTTGGTTTTGATATTGAAATGATAGAATTAATTTAAGAGTTGGTTATATTTTCATTTTTGTCTTTAATACAAATCAGATCTATCTTGCGAAAAAACTCACGGCCATAAAAATATAACTAATAATCAAACTATCTAAGTTTAAAAGTACTATTGGCTTTAGAAAATGGACAAACGACATACTTAGACATATTTTTTAGTTAGTCGTTTTTCATCAACAGCCTTCCACATATAAAGATTTAGTATTTTAAATGTATTATGCTTTGTCTATAAAGAGGGTACAAAGAATATTCTTTATGTATTAGTATATTTACAATATATATTCGAATTCCAACATAGCTTACTCATTTTTCTATGATGTTTCTGATCTCAGAAACACCATACACAATTAAATAATGATTATTACAAGAACCTATGTATTTTATAATGCTAATGTGTTTCCTTACGTATTGCTCTTCGAGTTTAAGCAGGCGTTATCATAAAATGTATTATGTGAGTTATGTTACGATGACAATACAAAAACAATTTTATAAATATTTATTTACATTGCCTTAAAAGTTATCGTAGCTATATTTAACTGCACTTTTATTCTATATTTTGCACATTATTGTTTGATTTTAAACGTAAAACAATGTCTACCGCCATGATTCGTCACAGAAACAAAGCGACATCAGCGCCTCTAACAGCTAATAATGTAACTATTTGTTTGAAATATTTTAAAATTTTTAGAAAACAATTTTTTAATGTTTAAGTTATGGCAAATTAAAAAAAAAAAACACTATATAATTTTGGCGTCATCGCGAAAACCATTATTTGTAAATTGAATGCTTAAACTCCGTAATCTACGAGTATATAAACAATTTCCCTTTCCTAACTTTGTTTTGTGTTGTTGTCTATCCCAATTTTCCCATTTAATACCTAAAGACATAGCAAATAGCTTGCAACATATATACTCAAATGCTTATATAAGTGGACCCACGATTTCTGGGAAACAGGAATATAATGTAAGGTTTTTGTTCCTTTATATATATATTTTTAAATTTTCTTTGAACGAATCGGTGTAGTTTTATTCTTAATCCGCGTTTATTTTAATAATTTCTTTTGTATTCTCTCCTTCTGATTGATCACAACATTTCGTATTATCTTCTTCTGTTTTAATTAAAACAACATTCTCTGTATTTCCTTCCAATTTTTCTAAATTTACTTCAAGTTTGACTGCTTCTGCCTTTTCCTTGTTAACTTCATCCTTTTCTTTATGTGCCTCTTTTGCTGTTTCTTCTATACTTTCTTTATTTACTTCCAATTTCTCTTTGACTTCTGTTTTCTCTTTCTTCTCTTCTGTTTTATCTTTGTTCTCAATTTTGCCGACATCTATAGAACTTCTGGACAATTGACGAAGAATGTTCTCGAAAATTCTTGGCGCACTTTTAGTGTTCGGTAACGAAATGTCAGTTTGTGTCGTGACCGTCTCACTTCTCTTTTCCTCCTTTATGTCTGCTGGTATCACTGTCTCTTTCAAATCTAGTTTCATCGTCTTCTTTCTTAATAGCAACTCAGGATCTTCTGTGTCAGTCGAATTAGATCTTCTTTCTATTGCTTTTGTGAGAACGTTGCCAAGTAAGTGTGCGCATTTGATAATATTTTGAGTCTCCCGAGGTGTTAGGTGCAGACCCTGGTTGCGGATTATGTTGTTGAGAGCATCTATGTTGTCTGGTGAACGTTTTCTGGAGCAGTCTGAGAAATCTGCAAGGTTTAGGGCAATTGTGATTTGTAATGCTAAATTGGTTGTGTTACAAGGACAATAAGAAGTCGAAGAAATAAAATTGCGTGTGGTGACGGATTAAGAATACAGAGTGTCACCACCCCTATTCATCCCGTGGGTGTCGTAAGAGCCGACTAAGGGAGGCAAAGTACGCAGGCCAACAGCACTGCAAAGAGAAGGAAAACTTGAAACAAACCCAATATATATAGGGTATAGACAAACCCGTCTGTCCCGCGTGGTATAGTAGGCAAAACCTCCCTTCTAAGGAGGGCTCTATGTCCAACGGTGGACTCGTAAACGCTGTTGAAGATGAAGTGAAATAAAATGAAATGTCCTCATCAGCGTTACCTTACCATCAGGTGGCCGTCTGCCAATTTGCCCCCTATTTAAAGAAAACAGAAAGAATGTGATCTGATTTGATCACAAGTACCAGGGTAGCATAACTTCCCAGAATTATTTTGTTACTCTCATAACTAACTACTAACTAACCTAACTCATTCGTCACTGGTCACGTCCCATCAGCTGAACTGTCTGTCAATATGCCTCCTATTATATTAAAAAACATGGCAAAAATGACATTTGATTTGATCACAAGTACCAGGGTACCATAACTTCCTACAATTATTTTGTTCGTGTTCACTCACTCATCAGCAGTTTCTTACGTTATTTACCATCAGGCTACCCCGTCTGCTCCTCCTATTTTAAGAAAAAAATTGGATTTGCTTTCGTCAGAAGTACTAGGAAAGCATAATTTATAAAGAGTTCTACTCACCAACTTCTCCGAAGTCAGCCAAATCGAACGTATCTGTCCGGTATGGTGTGGGACACTGATCATAGTAGTTCTTCATTGGCACCTTTGAAACAGAGTTGTTATAGTTTGCCCAGAAGGAGGTCCATTCACCATCGCAACGGTGTTCCACTTTCGTGTTTGGTTCGCTGCAGTCAGCCCACGTTGAGATGCAGCAACTGAAAAGAGAACAGACAGTTTTTAGAGTTCCGTACCTCAAAAGGTAAAAAAGGAACCCTTATAATATCACTTTCTTGCCCGTCTGTCTGTGTGTCACCACCGATTTTCTCAGGAATGGGTAGACCTAGCAAGTTGAAATTTATACCAGTTACTGAGGTCTATGGTCCCTATTAGATGTATAAAAATCAAGGTCCTGAGTCAACACAATAAAAAGATATGGGCAAATTTCGATTTTCACGAAAACTTGTAAGTACCAAAATTTACCTTAATTTTTGACTTTTTTATTTTTCAGAATTTTCTCCTTACTTTTGCTGTCGCTGGAGTTTATGGCACCATTTGTTTACAACGCATCACCTCAAAAATTTGTGAACTTACCATACCTACCATAAATTTTGTGTTGAACTAAAGAAATGGCTAAAATAGTAAAGTATTACTAAGATTAGCAGGTTACCGATTCAATGTTCTGTCACAAGACGATATAATCACATTACGGTCAACGTTGGATGTTAAATACTACGAAAATATCTTTTATGACAGTTATAAGATCGAAAGTTGATCGGAACTGATTTGAGACCGAACTTTTATTAAGAGAATTGGCCTTCTGTAATCATTATTTTATAATATATAAAAAGGAAGAAGTAATCAATTCGGATGTTTTTTTTTTGACGTGACAACGTCTTATAAATTGGTTTGCCGGGTGACACTTCAAGAAACTGCGTTACGCTCCGCTCACGTTATGCGCTCACAATGAGAGCGAGTGAGAGGCACGCGTCCCTTCCAATCGGGCATGGTTAGCCCGCCTAAGAGCGAGAGAGACAGACATAGTCGTTGTCACGTAAAACTTTCGCCCGTATACCGACTTTACAGGCAACCAATTTTTTTTAAGTATGGACATAACTCCGTTATATGTAGACGGATTTTCAAAATTGTTTCTTTTTAGTTTGAAAGGGGTTTACTCCGAAATGGTTCCCATTTAAATTTCATATAGATCTGATGATGAGTTTCGGAGACAGACAACGGAACTCTTCAAATAATTACAGCAAATCAACCGCGATTGCTGCTAGGTTTTTAGTGCGATTAGTATTCGGTTCGACTTTTTTAAAGTACCACATATTATGCAAATAAACCTATTATCATTAACAAAAATAATAATTTGACGGGCCTGTTGGTCTAGTGGTTAGTGCCCCTGACTGCTAAGCCGGAGGTCATAGGTTCGATTCCCACCCAGGACAAATATTGTGTGATGAGCACGGTCATTTGTTCTGTGTCTGGGTGTAATTTATCTATAATATGTATGTATTTAAAAATATATAAGTATGTTTATCAGCGGTCTGGTTACCATAGTACAGGCTCTGCCTAGTTTGGGATCAGACGGCCGTGTGTGAGATGTGTAAGATATATTATATTAATATTATTATAATTAAGAGGCGTACAACGTGGCGGAGAACGTGAGTTTTGGTCATTTGAATTAAATCTATTTGCGTGTGAGTCCAACTTATTCTTGACAATTTTTTGCTATCCCGATGTGATCTCTTTAATACATTCTGTACAACCTGTAATGTGCCTACCTGGACAATTGAAGATCCTGACTCTTGGGCGACAAGATTTGGTCCAGCTGGCTAGCTCTAGGAGACATATCAGTAGATGATTGTCCGGAATACTCCGGAGACACAGAAGAATAATCTAGCTCCGGACCGTATCTGTAATACAATAACGAATATACTTTTACTATATCAGTTACATCATCACATTAACAGCCTTCAATAGTCCACTGCTGGACATAGGCTTCTCCTTAGAAAGGAGGTTTTGGCCTACTATACCACGCCTGCCAGACGGGTTCGTATAGGGTTTCAAGTTTTCCTTCTCTTTGCAGTGGCGTTGTCTTGTAGTTTAGTCCCTTAGTTGGATCTTACGACACCCACGCGCGAATAAGGGCGGTGACATTCCGTATTCTTAATCCGTCACCGCACGGATGTGTGTGTATTTAGGTCCATTATTCTAATGGGAGGGACACTGATGGTAAGTGACTATCGCCGCTATTTACACTTACAGCTCAAGAGACACAAGCCACTCTTCAATTGTTCCTCACCCGGGGTTGGAGGGGGGGGGGGGGTTAACACTGATGGTAAGTGACTATCGCCGCTATTGACACTTACAGCTCAAGAGACACAAGCCACTCTTCAATTGTTCCTCACCCGGGGTTGGAGGGGGAGGGGGGGGTTGACACTGATGGTAAGTGACTATCGCCGCTACTGACACTTACAACTCTAGAGACACAACCCACTCTTTAAGTGTTCCCCACGCGGAGTTGGGGGGTTGCAAGTTACCAAGAAGTGTGCTCGTTTGCTAGACCGATGCTGATTCGAAGAGTATTATGGTATCTAAAATAAATATCACCTGTGAGGACTGCTCGTAGAAGAAGTCTTGAAACTGTCTCTACTATAAGAGAAACTCTGCTTGGTGCTGTCCAAAGACTTCAGTGCCCTCCTAGTCTCCACTCTTTGAGAGTGTATCTGACTCTGCAACGAAGCGCTCCTTGGTTTCCCTTTGATCACCTTTGGAGTGGATGTGGCTAGAGCTTGGAATTTCTTGACACCGTATTTCGAGTTGGTGTCTTCGAAGTCGGACACCTGAAAAAGATTAACATTAAAAAAATAATTAATTTCAGGGTCCACCTGATGTCTCTCTCTCTCAGACTCTTGTAGTATGCTTGTATGTAGTTTGGCTAATATAGAAAGATTGACTTGTAATAATTATCGACAACGACATCATCATCTTCCTAGTCTTTTCCAAAACTAGGTTGGAGTAGGCTTTTAGTCTACTCGGGTGGACGGGATGGGTTTTCCCCTCCACCCCCAATAGTTTGGCCAGCCGCTCGGGGGCGGCGTCCGCGTGTGCCGGACGTCGCCTAAAGAGAGGATATTTTTGAGACGAAGCCCGCACCAGGAGCGGGCCGGCGCTGGGAGGGGTCCAGAAGGCGATAACTACCTGGACCCCTCCCAAAATAGAAGCGCAAAGAGGGCACACCGTGTGGTTTTAGTCGGTTCGAGTCCGACACACCGCCCCGCCGAATAGAGAACCCCGGCGGGGTGACGGTCTAAGGGGATTTCCACACGTAAAAAAAAAAAAGGATTTTAGTCTACTGAACAGAACTGGCGGCCATCAGATCTCCACAACCCAAGTACTAGGCAATATCGAAGTTCTGTAGATAGACTGGCTTTAGTGCTGCAACTACCCGTAACACCACCACCACGTAACACCACAGATGTTCGTACAGCAACTTAGCGTGTTCTCCGAGGCACGGAGGAGTCTCAATGGTTAGGGAGGGGTTACAAATAGGATTGATTAAATTCTCAATGTTCTAAACTACTCGGGAGAAGCCCAAAATCGATCTAAGAGGCGTGAAATGGGAGAGGCTTATGTCCAGCAGTGGACTGCGATAGGCTGATGATGAACCTACCCGGGTATCACTTCGCCACGAGCTCATAGACAACGACAAATCCCTATATGAAAAACTGACATCATAATATCTTACTTGTGAAAGATCCAAGGACATATCATCTTCTACAGAAGTTTCTTGGCTCTTGGATGACTGTGAGCAAATTCTTTCGCTCGCTCTCTTCGTCTCCACTGGTTTCTTAGTCTTTGGTGGGGAATCAGTAGATGGACGACGGTAAGAGCCTGGTAGGGAATTCGCCCGGTCGCTTCTGGAAAAGGTTTACATTTTAGACGAATATTATTTAACTACAAAAGCCGTTAACCGTGGGAGAGGTCGGCTCGACCGGAGTGATGACACGGCCTCACAGAAGACCACACAATAGGCTAGTTGACTCAATTTGAAAACTTGGTTAATTATATACTTTAATAATCTGTTTTATACCAAAAAACCTATATCTCAAAGAAGAAGCAATATTTCCATTCCGTATTTTGTATTTAAAAAAAAAAAAAATTAATTTTCCCTTGAAAACGCTGAATAGTGTCATGGCGTCTTGAATGACGTCACAGTCTGCGAAACACAACTGTTTAAATATGCAAAAACGAAAAACAATAAGGAGTAACTTGCTCTGTATGAAAACGTCAACAACAACAATGATGTTTTGCGTGGCGTGACGTAACACTTTCTGATTGGTGTTCTCTGTCACGTACCTTAATGCCTATTTTGTTCGTTTTTTTGTTTAAATCTTTAACTTTTATGAGAAATGAACTGGTTTTTTCTTATCTATGTCTCTTCATTTATAAATTGAAACGATAAACCAAGCAATTTGTTATTAGTGGACACAAGCATATTCTTTCTTTGTTTTTCACCGAGTGATTGAGGTTACTAGAGCTCAACCTAACGCCTTCCTCTTTTTCTGTGGGAGGGGTATTCAGAGGGCGCCAACATACACTTGTGATTTGCAGGTGTCTATGACCGGCGGTAGTCACTTAACAATTTACTGCTTTTCAATTTACTTCTCTGTCTGTCAACATGTTGGATAGTGACGTCATCTCTCATTTGGCAGTTGACACATATGACCTAGTTCGTAGTTCCGTCTGTATTCGTTAGATGGCGCTGTAGTATGTTTTTGTTTCACAGTGTGTGGAAGTCGCCACTAGAGTGATTTAGCAGCCAATTTTAAAAATAACTTTATTGGTTTGATTTCTTTTTTAAATATTTTTTTTAAAGAATGTTATTTTGTACTATTCCGGTTTGTTAATATCCATATTACTGTCAAATTTTGGTCTCTGACCTACTATTAGTTTTATCAGATCGTTTATCTGATGGTAAGTGACTTCCACTGCTCATGAAGACTTATAAACCAAGAGGCACAAGCAGGAACAGGCATTTAAGCTCCGGAAACCGGTCCGAGCAACGGTAACGTGAAAATCAGCATTTTTTTTCCACTTTAATACAACGCCATCTAGTCTCAAACAAATCTAACATTAAATGTTCAGCGGTGTTGAGTGGGAATCGAACCCGCAACCTTTGGCAAGCCGTCCAGTTATTTAACTCTGATTTTCTGTGAGGCCGGTGGCGCTGGTCCATTTGTGTCGAAATATGGAAATTGTACCTTTTTAAAAACTGTTTCCCTGTAACAAGAAGTTCCAAGTTCTGTGCTTTGACAGTCTTCTTTGGGGTAGAAGTAGCAGAACTAGGAGTGCTGGAGAGTGTGTTTTTTACTTCTTTGTCCTTCTTGATGCTGCTGCGACGGGATAACGATGCCGAGCTCCTTCTAGAGGATGAACGGGAGCGAGGCGGGGAGGGTTCGCCATCCCTTTCGTCGCGGTACATTGTTCTACAAAGAAGAAAATACAAATTCTCAAGGAGTGATTATGTTTGTGGGAGGCCCGCTATAAAAAAGAAACAAATTTTATAATATATTGCGTGATCAAACCCCACATGGGACAACACTTTGTGTGATCCACAAATTGTTGTTCTGAGTCTGGGTGTACTTTGTGTCCGTTTCATGTATGTTTGTAAAGTCGCGACACAGGATTTATTCCTAGTGCGGGAGTTGTCTATTAAAAAAAGAAAACCAAATAACCCGATTGTGTAAATTTAGGGTTCCGTAGCCAAATAGCAAACGAAACCCTTATAGTTATGTCAGGTCCATCCCTCTGTCTGTCCACACTATATCTCACAGACTGTTAGTGCAAGTAAACTGTATTTTCGCACGAACATACATACTAATCACTCCGATAAATTGGTTAAATAAAATCTTGAAAAATATACTTTTTTAGGATACCACTGGTACCATTAACGTGGGGATTTTTTTTTATGTTTATCCATTCCATAAGCCTAGTATACAAGCCTAGTCGACGCCAGTTTCAGGCGCCCCACTCTAGGGAGAACCCGGGACAAGTGGTTTCAGGTCCCCTCCAGATTAACGCCGCACCTAACCACAAAAGGCTACAGAGCGTGCCAAAATAAATACACATAATACTGTTGGTCTAGTGGTTAGTGACCCTGACTGCTAAACCGGAGGTCGTGGGTTCGATTCCCACCCAGAACAAATATTTGTGTGATGAGCACGATCGTTTGTTCGGTGTCTGGGTGTAAATTTATCTATAACTAGCTGACCCGCGCAACTTCGTCTGCGTCTCTCAATATTAATAAATTTTCTCCGTTTTTTAAACATTCTTCATTGGTGCTCCGCTCCTATTGGTCTTAGCGTGATGATATATAGCCTATAGCCTTCCTCGATAAATGGGCTATCTAACACTGAAAGAATTTTTCAAATCGGACCAGTAGTTCCTGAGATAAGCGCGTTCAAACAAACAAACAAACTCTTCAGCTTTATAATATTAGTATAGATATGTATGTATTTTGAAATATATAAGTATGTTTATCAGCGGTCTGATTACCATGTTCTGCCTAGTTTGGGATCACACGGCCGTGTGTGAGATGTGTGAGGTTATAAAAGTATTATATACATATATACATACACTCGAAAGAAATAACCATTCTTTAGGCGCAGACAGACACAATAGGCAAGAAATTAAGATGATACGCGTCGTTACCTGCGGTTCTTGTTTTACCTTGCTTATTCCACGGGAACACTACATTTTTTTTACAAAAAGTGGCCAATGTGCGATTCCAGACTTTAATCTATATCTGTTTGTTATTCTTTCATCCAAATCCGTAAAGCCTTTTTGCGTGAAAGAATAACAAACCTCCAAACATCCATACAAACTTTTGCCTATAACATTAGTAGGATGAAGTGCCTGTCAAAAATTTCATAGCAAGACATAGATACGCGTTTAATAGATAATGTTATTCTGTGTTATAATTATTTATATTTTCGCATCTTTTCAACGTTTTTATTTCTATTAAATTCCATCATAAAATTATTGAAGGTAATTATTTGTTTCATAAATTTTAGAAGAGATCCCGTCGGTGTCGTAAGAGCCGACTACGAAAGCAAACTGGACAACAGCACTGCAAAGAGAAGGAAAACTTGACACAAACCCTATACCAATCCGTCTGGCCAGCGTAGTATAGTAGGCCAAAACCTCCTTTCTAAGGGGAGGCCCATGTCCAGCAGTGGACTATTAAAGGCTGTTGATGTGATAAAATATTAGAAATATATGTCGTGAACAAAGTTTACGACCGGCTTTGAGAACCAATTTCGTGAATACCACCTCTAAGGGTAGTAAAATAAAGGATGAAGAACACAGTTTATTACAATTTTTAATGATATGGGTGCAGTTTTTTTTAAGGCTGTTTTATTATTTAATATAGTATCTAATACTTACTTGTAAATATATCTTCAAGTCTCGAGAATTCTAGATGTTAGGTAGTAAGCACAGGTACTCTATGTGGTCACAAACACACACTGTAATGTACTGAACTCGGTTATTCTTGTACACGTCTAGTGATACGCATGAATAGATAGAGGGTGTGTACATATTCATGAGCGGAGCGAGTAGCGGATGTAAATCGCTTTATACGTTAACTTTAATTTTACTATCAGCAGCCGTCATTAGGCCTCTTGAGGTTTTGCCCTACTATAACACGCTGGCCAGACGGGTTGGTATAGGGTTTGTGTCAAGTTTTCCTTCTCTTTGTAGTGCTGTTGTCCTGCGTAGTTTGCTCCACTCGTCCCTTACGAAACGTGCGGGATAAATAGGGATGGTGACACTCCATATCCTTAATACGTCGCCACACGTACGTGTAAAATCTCGAGAATTGAGGAACGTGGAATTGAGATTTATTGTAGTTTATGAGAAAGGGTTTCTAGGAGGGTAAACTAACAGACGGGTTACTTGATAGTATGTGACTACGTCCGCCTATGAGTCCTGAGAGCTTAAGAGTCACAAGTAATAATAATAATATATTTTTTATTGACATAAACAGTATTACATTGATTTCAGAATTCTCTGGTTCCTGCACCAGTAGATACTATATTGCAGGAGTCAGTGTCCTCCTCACGGAAAAAGTAGGCCACAGGTAGGCAAGGTAGGTAAGGTATTTCTACATCAAATTTAAACTAAAATGAAGATATCCTGTGTTACATTATGGCGTCGTAAGACATCTTCAATAATTATATCCACGTACTAGCTGACCCGCGCAACTTCGTCTGCGTCTCTCAATAGTAATAAATTTTCTCCGTTTTTGAAACATTATTCATTGGTGCTCCGCTGCTATTTGTCTTAGCGTGATGATATATAGCCTATAGCCTTCCTCGATAAATGGGCTATCTAACACTAAAAGAATTATTCAAATCGGACCAGTAGTTCCTGAGATTAGCGCGTTCAAACAAACAAACAAACAAACTCTTCAGCTTTATATTATTAGTATAGATTATACAAGTGCAAAATTTTAGTTCATTTAATGGCAGCCACGGCGGATATTCTTTGGTTGTTTATTAAGTTCATAGGTAGTTGAATATGTTACTTATTATTGTCACATCTAAGTTTATCTTCTAGAAACAAATAGGCACGTAAGGAAGTGCTATGGAAACTAATACTCCATTGTTAATATGACCGACTTTGCGAGAGATCAACTCTGTTATAAAAATATTTTTACTTTTATTATCTTTTGTTACATAATCTGGTTAAGTCGGACGTTTAAAACATCGTGAAATTAAATTTTGCTTTATATAAGTCACAGTATAATAGTCATGGTCCGTGTGGTGGCGGATTAAGAATACAGAGTGTCACCACCCCTATTCATCCCGTGGGTGTCGTAAGAGCCGACAAAGATAGCAAACTACGCAGAACAACAGCACTGCAGAGAGAAGGAAGACCTGACACAAACCCTATACCAACCCGTCTGGCCAGCGTGGTATAGTAGGCCAAAACCTCCTTTCTATAGAGAGGCATAGGCCTCTCTATATGGACATAGGTCCAGCAATGGGCTATTAAAGGCTGTTGATGATGATAATGATGTTTATGTGACCCTAATGAACTAATTTTACTTTAATTCCTAACTAGTGGTTCCCGCAGTTAATACCAACCCGTCCGGCCAGCGTGGTGTAGTAGGCCAAATTCTTCTTTCTACGGAGAGGTTTATGTCCAACAGTGGACTATTAAAGGCTGTCGATGTGAATGTGTTGGAATGTATGTATGTGCCAGGGCATAACTTGGTTGACTAAGGTTATTTGTTAGTTAATTACTTATCGACTACTAACGATAAATTACATCCAGACACAGAAAAAAAGGTTCTTCACATCACACCATTATTTGTCCTGGGTGGGAATAGAACCCACAACCTCTAACTTAGCAGTCCGGGGCAGTTCTTATGTCAATAGGCATACAGGCCCGTCGTTTTGTTTGATTAAAGATTATACAGAAAACGCTCGCTTATGTAATGTGTGCAGTGTCTTTAATTAGGGGTTGAAGAGACGCGGGGTGGTCATTGGCGCATGCAACAAGTAGAACAGGGGTTGAATAGAGTCGATATACTTGTTTAAATAATTGTATTTCAAATATCTATTGACGAGGATATCAAGCAAAACAAATTTTAATAACGTATGGCGTAGTGGTTTAAGCGGTCACCTCGCTGCTCGTACGTCACTGAGTTTTGTGGGTTCGATCCCAACAAGGGACAATACTCTTAGTGTGATCTACAAATTAGTTGTTCTGAGTCTGGGTGGAGGCGATTAAGGGAACTAACGTAGGACAACCAGCATGGCAAAGAGAAGGAAAACTTGACACAAACCCTATATCAAACCCGTCTGGCCAGCGTGGTATAGTAAGCCAAACCTCCTTTCTAAGGAGAGGCCTATCTACAGCAGTGGACTATTAAAGGCTGTTGATGTGTGATGTGTGTGATTTGAGTCTGGGTGTTCTTAGTGTTCGTTTCATGTATGTTTGTTAAGTCCACACAGGATATATTGCTTTTTTAAGTAAACCCTCTTGATTTAAAAAGGGCCTTAACGTGCAGGGCGACGTTTTTAACCTCCAACGGAAAACGAGGGATGTTATAAGCTTAACCTGTGTATCTGTATGTCTGTCTGTGGCATCATAGCTCTCGAGCGAATAGACCAATTTCGATGCGGATTTTTTTGTTCGAAAGCCGATACGATTGAGATGGTTCTTAGCTATACATTTTGAAGATCATCAGCACACTTCCTAGGTGATGAAGGGATCTCACTAAAATCCACAGGTCCGATTGATCTGAAATTTGGTATACTGTTCATTTGTTGGTATTAAAACGGCATGGTAACCTGGAACTTGCTGGTACTCAAGTAGTCTTCGGGATAGCTATCTTCTCAAAAAATTACAGCAAATAAACCATGTTTGGGCGTATTAGAACAGTTTCAATAACCAGTTGTTGTTTTTTTAAGT